ACATCATTAATGAAGATGTTGAACAATATGGGTCCAAGGACAGAGCCTTGAGGGACCCCACTGGTCACAGGACACCATGATGAGTGACTGCCATCAATTACAACCCTCTGGGTCCGACCATGGAGCCATTTTTGCAGCCAGCAGATCGTGGTGGACCCAAGGCCACAATTGGCCAGTTTCGCCAAGAGGGAGTAGAAGCCACACGCGGAGGTGGCATGCTCCCGGGCCCCAGAGCCTGAAAAAGGGACAGGTAGCCCCCGCAGCCAAGAGCCAGGAGCTCTGTCTGCGTGGAGCCTGGAACCATGTGTCTGTCTGGGTGGCAGTCTCTAAGGTGTCCGATGGGGGGGCTGCAGATCCTGAGGGGACCCTCGGGGTGCGGTGCATGCCCATCCATGTCATGCCTCTGGTAGGCTGGCTATGGCTGGGACTGACTACCCTGGGGGGTTTGCAGGCAGGGTCTCGGGCCCTCCCGTGCCCCCTCCTGGGCGAACTCCGCACTAACTAACGTGCCGGCAGACAATGTGCCTGTTTGTGCAGCCTGTTTGCGTGGCTCCGGTCACGTGGCTCTCTGGGGGGCTGGGCGAAGTAGGGGCCTGGGCAGGGGCTTGACCCGGCCCGGCTCCACGCAGCCGCTTCCTCCTACTCCTCCCACTTAACTGATTTAGGTTAAATTAGTTTATTGAACTTCTGTCCCAGATCCCCTCCAGATTTCAGTTAAATCCTTCAGCATCCTAGGATCTTTAAACCTCCCCTGCAACCCACCCTCACTGTACAGGGTGGATGGGCCAGCCTTGGCCCATGCTGTCTGCTCTAGCTGAGCATGGAGGCATGCTCTAGCACCTCCCAGCTTCTAGCGTGGGCCACTGCAGGTGTGTTGTTGCATTTCCAGAATCAAGAGTGAATATCTGCACACTTGCTTATTGGTTCAATCTATGAAGTTTAGACTAACCTGCAAAGATTGAATCGATTCAGCTTCAGGCTTTTAGACTTTCTGTATTTAGCCTTAAAGTTGAATAAGCATTACAGTCTGAAAGAAAACAGATTTCTATTTACTTCCTCTCTATAAACTTTACTTGATTTATAGCATCCACTCTGACTTAATATTTCCTTTGTTCGTAATGGAAAAAATCCATTAATATTTTCAGTTGAATTTTATTTAGTTTGTTGAATTTCTGGTAAGGATCTTGTATGTTAGGTTATGCTAGCATTCTGTAACTTCTTTATGTTGTGCTATGTTTATAGAATATAATAATATTATGAGTAAAATTGGGATGACTGTTGGTTCTGAAATGTTTTGTTTATACAGTGGTGAGTTCATGAGAGTATGCGTGGACCTTGTGATATTCATTTTAACATATCAGTGTTACTCTGTAATAACTAGAATGGAAAGGAGGGTATTTTATTAAGTTAAAGCAAATCCTTTGAATTGGAAATGAAAAGGCCAAATTTAAGGATGGATAGTATAAACTTAGCTGAGCAAATGGATTAATGAGCCCAGAAGGGGTAGTGAACATAATTTAGTCTGACCCAATCACATGGTAGGAAATATTATTCAGTTGTTTCTTGGTTGGATCCCAAAATTAATTTCTTTTGTTTCAGATTTAGAATTCTTGTAAATCATTTAATATTGTAAAAATAAAGTATATTATTGAGGGGCCAATGAACATGAACTCTATGTTAACTGTTTTAATTACTTTAAATATAATTACTCAGGGATGGATATTGTTTTCCTCTAAATAACAGTTCATATGCAGTTTGGACCTGTTGCACAGAAATTTTATGGGGCTTTGGCAGTAGACATTCTTTAAAAATGTGATCTTCAAGAGATGCCAGTTGTTTTGAAGGGCCCTACTTCCAGGAGGACGTTGGCTATGTGAGGGGATTTTCTCCCTGTTCAGATTATTTGCTGATTTATTTTCCTTTCTTGTTCATCTGTCATGCCATAAATATCAGCCCTGGGTGTAATAACTGGAATTTTCTACAGATTTATATTCTACTTCCTTATTTTGTTTTTATGGATGTCAACTTGCTTATAAATCATAGTTCAAAACCATGTTTAATAGCTGTATACAAAGGTAGTGTGGGTAATTTCTTTCCAGTTTTTCCTCTGGCATTCTTTCTTTTTACGTCTTTTGAAAAATATTACTTGGTCCCCATCTTCTGTCTTTCCCTTCAGCCTTTACTATTAAATATCCCTTATATGTGCATTGCTGGTAAGCAAATGAAATGGACTTGTTCATATAAGATAAGATATTCAAAAGGAAAAAGATACTGAAAGATAAGAATTACGTAATTGCCATGTGTCAAAGTAATTTTGATAATTGCTGCATTATTCATAGATGAGTGTTCTAAGGCATTATTTTCTTAGTTAAAATGGCAAAATTACTCAGTTCACTTCTCACTTGTCATGTTAAAATCCTAAATCTCCTGTTGTTTTATCTTCAACTCATAAAATTGGGTGGGGTGAGGGGGGAGAATCACATGCAAGTGTCTTATTTTTTTAAAAAGTTTAGTTTTTTTTAATGTACTATTAAGCTTTGGTCTAAGTTTGCTAAGCACCATTAAGAAAAATCAACTTTATACTTTTTCCTTATAAAATAATTGTCTAAGTTTTATATAATATAATTTCCCTTCTACAACACTTCCTTAGTTTACCTTAAGGATATCACTGATGGTTGATAATGTAGAGAAATAGACTAGATATGAGAGAGTGAGGGTTTACAACTTTAAAAGCTATTTGTTTTCTTTACAGATGGGAAGGTTGAAGTGACAAAAGAAGGTGTAAAGCTGTGCACCATGGGACCTGGCAAAGTATTTGGGGAGCTAGCCATCCTTTACAATTGCACCCGAACAGCAACTGTCAAAAGTAAGGCCATTTTAGAGTTTAAACTTTGTATTATTTACAAAGGTGTTAATATCAGGGTTGAGTACACTTAGGCTGGCTATCAGTTTCATAAGGCATTCATGGTTAAAAAAACTTATTAAAATGTTTCAGCTTTACTAAGCTGGTCAACTTTTTTCTAAATTAGCTTTGGGTATTAATATGACACATTTCATTCCCTGTATCTCATTGGAGATGATATTTTGCTCCTCAGCTGGAAGTAGTTAAACAAAATTCAGTTTTTCACAATCTCATGTTTGCTTTCACCTATGGTAATTCGCTTACATACCTTAGATCTGTGGAAATGAGGGGAAAAATTGTATACTGCGATGATACATTGTTGAATGCACCATCTAAGAACTTATTATTTCCAGTGAGGCCTTTGGTAACTCACTTAGATACTTTGCACCTGAATTTCCTTCTGGAAAATAGGAAGTGTATTATCTACATTCAAGAGGTGTGGCCTAAAAGCAGGAAAAATTTCAAATACTGATGTGATGGGGCCAGATAAGCATCTAAGAAAGATTGAAAGGACCTTCTCTAATTCATTAGTCATCACAGTAAAATGGATAATTGTTTTTTCTGTATGTCAGTAAATTTGGTGGCAGACTATGGGCACTAACTGGTTTGATACTGTCCACTTTATTATGTTGTTTCACTCCCTGCTTCTGCTAGGAGAGCAAAGATGCAGTTTCTCTGTTATTTGTAGCTGAACCACCTGTTTTTTTATTTTTGTTGTTGTTGTTAATTTAACGTTGTTATGGTGTTTATGCTGTCAGTGAATCTAAAGATTTGAATTTGAAGAAAGGAGGAAAATGTCTCAGATGCGGTGGCATTCTGTACCTTTGATTTTGGTTTAATATAGAATACCTATATTAGTATCATGGCTTATACTTGCTCATGCAACCCCCTCCCCCCCAGAAAAAGAAACCAAGGGAAAAAAAATCAGTCCATGGATAATTTAATTTCTTCATTTGCTGCCTTCTGAGGCCTAACAGCACCTAGAACCTGAAAGTGAAGTATGTGGTGAGCAGGGAAAAAATCAGGAGATCATTGTATGACAACCTCAGGTCTTCGGAGCTTGGGTTGCTGTACTGTTTTAGTGTCTCTTTGTACTCTCACCCGGATCCACACACGGCATTTCCCTTGTCAGCAAACTGTCAGAATGGAGTTCTCTCTATTTAGAGCAGCATAATGTATTATCTTTTAGAAACACCCACATTTGAAGTTCCAGTGCCTTCCCTCTCTCGATGATGTACCACATTATGTGGGTACACATCACCCACCACTTTGCTAGAACAGAAAACAGGAGGTTAGTTATTGGTTATTTAATGTTACAGGATTTTGGTTTTGCATGCTGTACATTTTCAGCCAGCTTCTGCAAGCAACTGAATAGCAACAGATACAGCACTAGCTACAATTAGGGTTTTTTATGCCTATTTTTTTGCACACTGTCCCTTCTCATTAGCCTTTTTTCCAGCTGTCAGTTGGTAACTAGTTTTAACTGCATCTTTCTTTCCTTGTTAAATTAAGGGCAAGAGCAAGGTCACTTCTATTGCTATCCTGAAAGGGACCTTTCTTTAAGAAAAAAGTGGGCAACACTATTTCTTAAGTCTTCTTTTGATTTCTCTCTGGCATATAAAAATGATGGTAATTATGCACCTCTTCTCTAGGAAGCTATTGTGTATGTAATTGCATTTTGGATGCTAACAAGTGATTTAAATGTAATTTCTATCTCATTATCACACAAGTGAGCAGCAATATAATTGTGATCAGCTTTATAACCTTTCAAGTGCAGTGACATGTGAAGTCGCCATTCGACTTGGTAAATATTTCAGCAAGATCTTAATGATATATATCCAGTACCTTGAGGTACATAGCATAATTTAGGATACATATTGACTAATGAGTTTAAATTGTAGTCCTTGCCACTAAAAATCTCATTAAATATCTGATTGTTTTTGTACATGATTTTGATCCCTCTAAATATTGTCAATTTACTTATTAAAACTAAAGAAAGGAAGTTACTAGTAAGAGCTAATAAACCTGATGGTAATGAGTAAGCAGAAGCAAGAACTTCAGTCAGCCAAGAGCAAGTTTCTCATTCATTATTTGAAGAAACTGATTGAGTAATAGTGATGAAACTGATTTCATCACTGATTTTTAGATGATTTTCCTGATGGTTTATAAAGATATGCTAAGGGAAAGCCCAGAGCTTCACGTTTATCCAGAAGAAGATTAAATATTATAATTACACCAAATAAAGTTTCTGAAACCAAATTTAATGATAGAAGAAGCGCTATATTATGAATACAGTCACAGTTCACTGCGATGGATGGGAGTGTTTTACTGATGAAAGATGATCCCCACCAAGTTAAAATAGCGGAATATACAGTAATCAGTCAATTGTAATCACCTGGTGAGTCAGGTACATTCTTCATCACTTTCATCTAAGATTAATCTAGCTTATGAAGATAGAAGAGTGCAAGTCCCTAGGAAGACTTTAGTCTGGCTTGAGAGAGATACCAGTTCACCAACGATTACCACTGACCTGGTGAAGGGACATTTGGAGGGATTGGACATATTTAAGTCATCAGGCCCTGAAGATCTTCACCCAAGAGTACTAAAGGAATTAGCCAATGTCATAGTGAAACCACTGGCACAACTGTTTGAGAGCTCATGTTGCTCAGGGCAGGTCCCAGATGGCTGGAAAAGGGCCAGTGTGGTTCCTATTTTCAAGAAGGGGAGGAAGGAGGACCTGGGTAATTATAGACCAGTTAGCATCTATTTTTGGCAAGACCTTAGAAAAAATCGTTAAGGATCACATTAGTAGGGGACCAGCAGGCAATACAATGTTAAGGAGCAACCAGGATGGGTTTATAGCAGGCAAATCCTGCCTGACTAGCCTGGTCTCTTTTTATGACCAGGTCATGAAGTGCTTAGATGCAAGAGTAGAGGTAGATTTTATTTACTTGGATTTTAAAAAGGCTTTTTACATGGTGTCACTCCCAATTCTTACTAGTAAATTAAGTAGCTGTGACATGGATTTTTTTCAGTCCGGTGGATGCAAAACTGGCTCATGGGACGCACCCAGAGAGTGGTGGTGGATGGGTCAGTTTGTACTTGGAGAAATGTGGGCAGTGGTGTCCCCCAAGTCCCGGTCCTTGAACCAGTACTGTTTAATATCTTCTTTGGCGATCTGGATGAGGGTGTAGAAAGCACTCTGTCCAAATTCACAGACAACACCAAATTATGGGGTATGGTAAACACACTAAAGGGTAGCGAGTGAATTCAGGCCAATTTGGATAGACTGGGGAAGTAGACAGATCAGAATAGGATGCAATTTAACAAAGATAAGTGCCAAGTGCTGCACCTAGTGAGAAAAAAATCAGCAATACACCTATAGACTGGGAAGTGCCATTCTGTGTAGCACAGCAGTGGAAAGGGACCTTGGAGTCACAGTCAATACAAAAATGAACATGAGTCACCAATGCGATGAGGTAATAAGGCTAACCACACTCTTTCTTGCATTAGCAGGTTCAGCACAAGCAGGTCTAGGGAGGTGATTCTTCTCCTCTATGCAGCATTGGTGAGGCTGCAACTGGAGTACTGTGTCCAGTTTTGGGCGCTGCACTTCAAGAGGGATGTGGATAATCTGGAAAGGGTTCAGAGGAGGGCTACTCAGATGGTTGAGGACCTGCAGGTAAAATCCTATGAAGACAGACTGAGGGACCTGAATCTCTTCAGCCTCTGCAAGAGAAGGCTGAGAGGTGATCTTGTGGCTGTCTACAAACTCATCAGGGGGGTCAGCAGAAAATAGGGGATACTCTGTTTACCAGGGTGCCTCTCAGGGTTACTAGAAACAATAGCCATAAACTGAAGGAGAGTAGATTTAGATTGGACATAAAGAATTTCTTCCTGATGTCCTTATGGTGAGGGTTGCCAAAATATGGAATAGACTTCCAAGGGAGTCATGCTTTCCCCTACTGTGGAGGTGTTCAAGAGGTTAGACAAGCACCTGGTTGGGGTCACGACCCCAGTGCTCTTTCCTGCCCAGAGCAGGGGGTTGGACTCGAAGTTCTAATAGGTCCCTTCTGACCCTAGAAATCTATGAAATCTATGAAATTGTGATGATAATTTTAAAGACTGATTAATAAATCAGGGCATTCCATCAGAAACAGTAAAATTTGCTAGCGCTGTACAAAGCTTTGGTAGCTGATTCGATTCAGAGGAGGAGATTCAGCCCAATACAGTGGCCGAATCTCCAAATCCAGATGGAAACAGAAGACCCATTAAAAGCTCCAAATTGAATCAGAAGCCACCAAATTGATTCAGCCATAAACTAAACAGGCAGCAGTCCTTACCTTGGTTGACACAGCTGCCTTCAGTTGGTAAGTCTGTTGTGGTGGGTGGAGGGAAGGGGCATGGGGGTGCAGATCAGTACCGCCACAGTGAGGGAGGGATTGGGGCTGGGAAAAGCTGCCTGGCTGGTGGGGGGTGCAGGACTCAGGGAGGGGGGCTCCCACCACTGTGCACCACTGTGTGCCACCGGTCTGGGAGGTCACGGGAGCGGGCATGTACTCCTGGATGGGTGCGGGGCAGATTGGGCTGGGCTGCACTCTGGGAGGCTAACCCTTGCTGCTGGGCTGCACTCCATGGAGTGGGTGGAGCCAGGGCTGTGCTCTGGGTGGCTAGCCCCAGCCGCAGCTCCAACTGCATCCCTGGCTCTGCCTGCCCCACAGAGCACAGTGGAGTGCTGGCTTTGGGGGGACTGCAGCCACCCTAAAATTCCCCATAGCTTCTATGACTGGCCCCGTTTTGATCTGGGTGCACATGCCTGCCCCCATGCCCTGCCGCCACTTGCCCAGCTGGGGTGTAGCCGCGGCTTGTCCAGGATTTGTGGGGAGGCTGGGTGAACAGCAGGAGGGCATAGCCTCCTCTCCCAGCACCTTCTGCCACCCATCCGGAGCACAGCCTGGCCCAGC